GAGGGGATTCAGGGGCCGGGTGGAGGGCGAGCGGGCGGGTTCCGGTGTTTGCCCGGCCCGGTGGCGGCCTGCCCGCCCCCTTCTCCATACCTGACCGGCCCCCCAGCCCCGCTGCTGGGAGGCTGAGGCGGCTCGGCCGTGGCCGAGCGTCCGTTCCCGCCGGCTGCCCCCCCCCCCGGCTCGTCCCGCTGTCACAGCGACACAAGGACCGCCGGGGTTTTACACGGCCTTCGCTCCAGGGTTTAAAGTTTAATAAGCTGGTCTGTGTTGTAGCATAATTAGCAATGTTGTGTGTATACATGGGTTTAAAAAACAAAACAACCCAAACGCTTTTCAATGGGAGGCAGCCTGTAGGAAAAATACCCTGATGGTTTATGGACTGGAAAAGCAAAAGCCCTTAGGGTTAAAGAGCGCTCGCAACAAACTTATTTCTCCGTGGTACAGCTCACAACTGCTAATGCGTTAGAGAGTAATTAAGGACCGTGGGACAGACAAGCTTTGGGTTGTGGTTGAGCTCAGACCTGTAATGCTGAGAGCTGGAAGGGTTGGCAGCCTGTGCTTGTGTAAAACTTGGTGGGGGGAAGCTCCTTTCTTCCTCAGCTCTCCTTCAGCCGGGCAGCAGCGCTCTGGTGTGACCTGCCTGCCCTTCCAGCCCGTCATGTTTCAAATCCCAAAGTGCTTCTGCGAGTGGGAGAGGGAGGAACAGGCGCAGGAGCTGTCGGACCTCTTTGGTAGCGCTAAGTGTGTTTAAGCATTTGCCTGCTCTAAGCTAAGCAACTTCGTACTAAGCAACTTGGTGAGAACCTGAACTGCCTGTTCATTAAGTAGGTATTTAATGCATTGTGTGCACTGTTCCTTAAGCTGGGCACGGTTGCGGTCTCTAGTGTAATCAAACTGAAAATGTTAATTGCAGTTTGTATAATGAACACTGATGACACATCCTGTGACTCTTGAAGAGAGTAAGGCTGAGTACTATTTCAGAGAGCAAGGCTGAAGTCAGTCTAATACCCTGCACCTTGAGGCACGTCTGCTGAAGTGGTACTTACACCTCTAATATTAATGAAGCAGAGTTGTAACACAGACACGAAGAAACCTCTAAAAACGTGTCTGTGGTACTGACTTAAATGAGGCGTTGTGACGTGCAGCTTTTGTTTTCTTCTACATCTTTCCCCCCTGACCTCGTTCCTTTAAGTCTGGGTGATGCTATTGTCTACATGCTTGTGTTTCCATTTGAGCTGGAGGTGCCTGATCAAAAATCCTCTTGCACCCCCAAAAAAGCAAACATTTGCCTAGCTTGTAAAGTTAACTTAAACACTGGGTAGTTCTCAAAGGTAAGTGGAAAGGTTTCCTGATGCTGCTTTTTAAAAGGCCCATCTGCAGAAAAGAATCCTGTGGAATGCAGAAAATACTCCAAGCACCAGGAGAGTATACTTCCACAGGATGTAAAATCTAAGGCTTATTCACCTAGAATAGCTTACTCTTACTCAAAGAAGAACCTTCATCTAAAATAAATACTGTTTTCTGTCTCTGAGTTGCTAAGAACAGGATTTGATGTTTTGTTTGCTGATATCAAGCAAAACTGGCTTTTTACTGCAAACTTGCAGTTATCAATCTCTAACATGAACAGAAACAGGTTTAAGTTTATGATTAGTAGTGGTGTCTTTAGAGGGGGAAAAAAAATACCCAGCAAGATCAAGCAAGGATGTTCTTTCACAGTTTCCTTCATCAGCTGTACTTTAGTTTGCCGCAAAGAGCGCTCTCTTAGTCCTGTGTTTCTGCTTGCATTGGCTCAAACAGTCATCTGGTCAACATTAATTTATTTTTGGTTAGCTGTAGTGTTTGTTTGGAACAAATACCTGCATGGCCATATGTGTGCCAGAGGCAATGTATGGGAAGTAGTAAAGGGAATGAGGGTCTGCTGTTCGTCTTGATGTCGTCGTCTTGGATCAGCGTAGGTTCTTGGCATTGAACTCTTGTCTCTCAAGCTTAAAGTTCCTAGAGTCAGTGTCAAGCTACTAAACTGGTGAAAAGTGTGATTCGAGCTGTCATACACAGCACAAGTGGGTCTGGTCCCTCCTTGTGGTGAAACCATTTCTTTCTCTCTTAAAGTACAGCAGTACAGGAGATGGTTGGGCACTTGTTACACCTGGGGAAGCTCAGTGAAGATTCAGATGTGGCCCAGCTAAGGAGTAGGCACAAATCCGAAAGAGTTTACTTGTACATTGCTCCCACACAGCACTGATTGAAGTGTCTAGAGTGTGTTGGTTGTGAACAGCATCTGTGGAACTGTTCCTCCTAGACATGTTCACTTCCTCGGTGCTGTGACGGGCTGGTATGAGAGTCACCATGGTGGCTCTGTTCTCTGCAGGACTTTATCAGGGAGTGAGCAGTCCTGGTGTCAGGCCAAACTTGCCTCAGTTATCTCACTGTTAGTGCTTTTGAAATACCATTTTGCAAAAGAAGCTTTGTGATAGTATATTGTTGTTGTGGGTTTTTTTTTTTTAGGACAACCAAACTGCGTACGTTATTAGAAGGCCTTTATTACATGCTGTAGTTTAGACTTAATCCTGAGTTGCTATTAAAAGTAGATACTTAACCTGTTTCTTTTCTGTTTTCTAGCCAAGGTACGAGTGTCTGTCTAGAATGTCCAGGCATGCACAACAGCTTAGAGACCATGATATAAATCCATGTGTAGCGGTAAGATGATCAAATTGGGATTTCTCTTTGTACGTTTTGAAGTTAAATAATCTAATTTCTAGATGATTTTTTTTTTTGTGGATAACACTCTTGCGTTGGCATTTTGCATGAGAAGTTTCTTAAAGAGTCTGAAGATGGGAAAAGCTGAAAATCATCTGTTACGCCAAATGTGAAATAACAACCAGTGATTCTTCATAAATAGGACTAGTAAAACTGATAGGAATCTCTTCAATTTTCTGTCTGTAAAACCAGAGCCTGAAATCCTGGTTAGACAAGCTTGGTTGATTTTTAAGTGTCTTTTGTGGGTTATACCAAGCATCTTTGTAAACAAGTATTCTGTGGACTCTAGCCTTGCTATTTAAAGAGTACTAATGTCTGTTATCTCTAAGTGAAGTCATTGCTTGGTATTACTGATTATCCTTTGTGATAGATGTTCCTCTGCTCTCTTTGATAGTATTCTTTCATCTGAGAAGCTGCCTCCTATCTTCATAGATATTCTGGGACTTGTTAAAATTTTTAGACACTGAACACAGTAACTTTCCTCAGCTCTGAAGTATGTTTTTCCTATTAAAGGAAACAGATGCCTCTAGAAAATGCATGGACGACAACAACTATAAGAAGGATATGTGTACTGCTTATTTTTTGAAGTACAAAAACTGCAGAAAATTCTGGGTAAGCGCAGTAGATTTTTCTAAATTTTACTCCATGCTTTGCTTTATGTACATTACTTGTTACTGCTTTCTGAACTCTTCAGACCTAGCTAGTGCTGGTTTTTATGGTGACTTACAGGCCTAGGTAGCCTCGGTATGTGTTGCTGGAAGACTTAAGCAGATGCACGTCAAAGTACTTCACTTGGTTCTCCTCTAAGTTTACTCTCTTAAATTGTGAGTCAGTGTTCTTGCAGTACCTGATATGTTTCCCGCTGGATTTAAGTCAGATATTTCTAGAAATAATTGCTGGTTTAAATAGATATAATGAAAAAATTTTGAGTTAAGATATGTTCATGTGTGTTTCCATTGCTTTGGGTCATGTTTACTTTAAGATAAAACTTGTCCAGAGAAGTTGTGGCTGCCCCATCCCTGGAGGGGTTCAAGGCCAGGCTGGATGGGGCTTTGAGCAACCTGGTCTGGTGGGAGGTGTCCCTGCCCATGGCAGGGGGGTTGGAACTCCATGATCTTTAAGGTCCTTTCCAACCTGACCCATTCTATGATTCTAAGAGTTCATTCTTCTTTGGTGGTGTCCTTATTTCCTTCTCAGTTACAGTAGGAAAGTATCATGAGGAGCTATGTGCAATTAAACTGTTCTCTGCTGTTCTCTTTCTTTATGCCATAGTAGTAAAGAAACTTTTAGCTTAGTCTTTAAATAATTGTGCAAGCAACCAAAAAACTACTTAGACAATTGCACATTAGTCTTGTATAATGTAATGGGAATACTGTAATTTCAGTGTCTTCTGAAGCAGCAAGTTAAACTATTAGATGTCGTCAATTGAATACTAGTACAATTAATTATCTGCTAATCAGAGTATCTGGTCCTTGATATATAAAGAGTACTTCTATTAAAGAAACTCATTCACTTGGAGCTCAGGGGCAGAGATTTCTGAGAAATCTGTTCTCATGGTCACTTTCTTCTATTTTCAGCATGACATTATGATGCAAAGGAAAAGAAGTGGTGTGAAGCCGGAGATGCCCACAGCAGAAGAGAGAAGGAAAATATTGGAATCAATGGGGCAGCCCTACTGACTAGGAACTTGCACTGACTGACTGTTTTCACTGTACATATGAGGACTTAACGGCAGCAAACTTGCACTGACTGACTGACTGTTTTCACTGTACATATGAGGACTTAACGGCAGCAACTTGCCTTTCTGTGAACTGGACTTCACAGTTGCCATATCTTGGATTAAAATAAGTTCTTAAATTTTGAAATGTGTGAGCTTTCTAGAATAGAACTTCTTTGTTTTATTCATATTCCATGTCATGGGAACGTGGCTCCTCCCTGGAAGACGTGGGTTTCAACACAGATTATGCCTAGACACTTGGGAAGTGAAAACTAATTTGCTGTGAAATGCTAAATATAAAATTAATGGGACTCTCAAAGTTTTTTTTGAAAAGAGGGGGCTGGTGAGTATGGCAGGGTAGATCTAAGGATGGAGCAGATTGAGAGGCTGGTACATGTTTCTTGTATCCAGCTATTCTGTCTTATATTCTGGATTTATCATGTGTGATCCTATCACTGTTTTCACACAAGTTGTATCCTCTGTCCCTGGTTTAAGTAAGACTGTTCATGAACTAAAATCCCAGTTCCAACAAGCTTTGTCATTAGGTCTCCTGTTGCATCAGTGACAGCAGACGCTTGCAATAAATCAGATCTGCAAGCTTTGCTTGTTACAAGGTTAGAGAGGTTGATGAAGATGGAACTGAACTCCTGGGATCTGCACTGAGTAGTACTTTCTGTGGATAGTAAATAGATACTTTGCTGGCGGGGAGGGAGAGGGACTTGTAGACGTGTAAACATATACTCTGAGTGACATGGCAGGTTTAACTAGAGTACATCTAGCTAAGACTCCCTGGACAGCTGAAGCCCTGGGTTTGGAAATGCTTACTCATAGAAGACTACAAAGCTCAGTTTGACCAGCTAATCTAATCTTAAGTAAGATTGATTCCTTAACTAAACTGAACAACTAGTAAGTGTAAACGGGTTGCTGTCTAGTGGAAACACTGTTTTCTTACCTTTAGTACCTTCAGGTGTCCTGGCTTAAAAGCCTGCACCCCGTGGTGAAACAGAAAAAATGCTGTCATGGGCTCAAGTTCCATGTGAAATCCTTTAGGACTTGCTGCGATCAAGTTGGCAGAACTCTGGCTGACCTCATGGAGGATGGTATAAAAGTGTTGTCTCTCTATTTAGACTGTTTTGGAAAGACTTCATGGCTTCCTGTTTCTCCTTCTGTCTGGCTTGCCTTCTTTCTTTCCACTGGAGGCATATTTCTACGCTCGGTGAGATTTTTATGCTGTTTCCACCTTTCCCCTTGTTACTTGACCTGACTAGTAACTAAGGGAGACCTGTGTTTCCTCCTCCTTTCTGTCTGTTCTACTTAAACATCTGCGTTTTGGAACAGATTGATCATACCCTTTCTGTTTGGGAGTGAGTGTGTAACTCTGCCTTTTGAGTATGCAGTTCTCTGAGCATAGCTGTGCAGCCTCCAAGCCGTGTCACAAGTTCTCTAGTCAGTTCCTGGGAAATGAAATCAGCTTTCTTCAATCAAGATCATCCCATTCTTTATTTTATATTACTTTCTCTGTACTTTAAATTTAAACTTTGCTGACTCTTCTTCTCTCTTTCACAAAAAAAACCCCCAACTTTTCTTTTAGATTCAAAGGCTCTTTTCTTGCCCACCACCTTCTTCCAGTATCTCCTACATACCAGTCTTTTTTTTTTTTTTTTGGCATTCAAATTCATCATTTGGCACCAATTCTCTTTTACTCATTTTGGTCCGTTAATTCCAACTTCTTTTTTTTTTTTTTTTTTCCCCTAGTAACTTTGTTCTGTCTCTGATCTAATGAAGTCCTGCAATGATGTTCTACTTCAGCTCCTCTTGAAGGTCTTGTGTTCTCTGCTCTCCCTGTCTTGAGAGGAGAACTTGCTGTCCGTAGTCAAACTTAGCAGTACTGCTTCCTCATTGGCCGTGCCTCTGATCATCTTGTTCATCTGCAGTTTTTGGGGAGCTGATTGTCCCCTTTTCCTCAGGGCTATGTCTCTGGACTCTTCTGGTTTTGCTGTCCTGCTTGTCTAAGGGCACCTTCTCTCCCACTTGGCACAGGTTTGTCATTTGGCACCCCTGCTGTATCTTCGGGTGTGTTCTTTGCTCCTATGGCTTCGGCTGCTATTCTAGTGCTTGTTGTTTTCCTCTTGCTCTGCTCTTATATTCTGGGTTTATGTTAAAATCTACTGTATGTTTTAATTCTGTGGAAGAAAAGCAGCATCTCCTCTTGATGTGATTATGCTGAGTCTTCCTTGCATAAGCTTAAGTTCCTTAAAGTCATCTCATCCTAGGTTTTCCTTTCAAGTTTTATTTGAGTGTTGAAATTCCCTTTCTCCTAGGTTAATTTTTGCATTTGCTTTTTTTTTTTCCTGCCAATATGTACTTGGAAAGCTGTGACTGTTTTTCTTTTAAAGGATGATTGACTTATCTGTAGACGTTAATAGATACCTCGTAGAGCTTTGTAAATTGTTTGTAAAGAACCAGTACCAGGCTTCAGAAAGTCAGAAAAGGAGATGCGTTCCCTGCTTTCAAGTGTCAAACGATGCAAGAATGTGAGATCACAGGGCAGGCTAAGGCACATGTAATGCAAGAACAGTGTTCTAATATTAGACTTCCTGATCATCAGTGGACACACATGGTAAGCTCCCAGTGAGTGTTACAACAAAACTGAGTTTAGTGAAGAGCTGAGGGCAGTTTAAATGTTGAACTTGGGGATTTAATTCAGATAATCAGCCGTCTGTTGTGGGGAATGCTATTTATTCATTTCCATTGCATATGCCTTAAAGTTACTGTTCAAGAGCACAACTTTATGAAAATCTTGGAAAGCAAGAAATTTTCTTCCTCATGTTGTAATGCCTCCCAAGAGTAGTCCATTAGTTAAGTCTGAGTTTTCATCATTTTTCCCCCCTCACTGGAGTTCGCTGTTCCTGCTTTCGCTACTGAAGCTGAAGAGTGGTTAGTTGATAGCTAAAACACAGGCTCTTATGTCTATGAAATGGTTGAGGTTTTTCCATTAATTTTTGTAGTATGATTAACTGTCTTTGGTCGGGAGCCAAAGATAATGGTCTTTTCCTCATACCTGAGAGCTCATGTTCCACGCTCCACTGAAACACGGAGGTGAGTCGTAGCTTGCCAGTCTCACTGGGCACAAACAAACTGGGTTCAATTCTTAGTTTTGCTAAAGGGCAGAAACCAGAAAACATGACACAGTGGACCAATACAATTAATTCAGAAGCAGGGAGAAGACCTGTGGGTTTTCTTTAGTTTAAGAGACATACTGCTTTGTTTTGCTTGTGGTACAAGGACCAAATCTGGATAGTGGCGTTAATGTTTCATTATTTTTTGTTTGACAGCTGGATGGTGCTGTTGCACAACAGACTGTATGAAAACAGAATCACTCCACCCACTACTGGCTTTTTCGAGCTTTTTTTTTTTTTTTTAGCCTCTTCTTAGCAAGATAGCAGAACCCATGCAGGAGAAAGGGAAGATTGGCACTGTCTCTACGGTATAAACAGAAGAGGAGGATGAGTCTAAATCACTGCTGGAAAATAGGAGGTTTCTGTGCAGCCTGAGAAGCTTTGGAATATGATCCTTGAAAGAGTATTTTTCACTGTGGTCATTTGATCATGTCTGAGCGCTGAGCAGCAGCTACGGGCTCTCTGCCAGCCCCGGGGGAATGTCCAGGCTCCCACCTGTACGTTTTACCATCTTACCTTTCCTGTTGCCCTACAGGGCAAGGCCTTTGTGTGTTTGGCTCTGGAAGCTTTTTGCCACCACAATTGGGATGAGTCTGTGCTTTTGAAGGCATTAGAAGAAAGTTGTCTACCTCTAGAGTCCTGAAAACTTCTTTGGGTTTAAAGCTGAAGCTTTGAAAGGCAAGGAGTTGCACGTGCTGCAGCTCAGTCTTTTTCATGGTCTTCTAATAAAACTTTTTCACTCGTGTCATTGAGGATGTACATATAGGGGAGGTTTCCCTAAAACTGCTGCAGAACAGATGTCAGGAATTTAGAGTATACAGCGTTACTCGGATCCCTTTGTAGGCAGCCCTTAACTCATGCTAAAAGTATCTGCATCTTTAAAGTCAGTCTTCCAAAATAGCTGTGAAAAAACTAATCAGAGTGTGAAAAAAGTTTAGAAAAATAGTACACTATTGTGGGCTTTTATTCTTTTGCAAGAATTTGAGGCCACTGGAGGAAAAATATTTAGTAAGAAGTATACCAAGCATACTACAGATATTTTTTTATTATTATTTTTTGTTGCAGCCTATTTGGTAGGAAAAAAAAAGTAAGAGGGGAAGTACTGTATTTATACTGACTAAATGCAGTGGCTCATTAAAATAAAACCTTAGCGTGTTTTTTATACATATGGTATCATGTATGTAGTAACTTACCAGATTTTGAGTAATTTCTTTCCATCCTTTAGGTTTCTGTCCTGATGCCTCCTACTTCAAAATCCTTTTCTAAGGATTTTCAGTTTTAAGGCCTTTAACATAAGGATCCTCAAATTATAGAATCATAGAATGGTTTGGGTTGGAAGGGATGTTAAAGATCATGGAGTTCCAACCCCCTGCCCTGGGCAGGGACACCTCCCACCAGACCAGGTTGCTCCAAGCCCCATCCAGCCTGGCCTTGAACCCCTCCAGGGATGGGAATTCCCTTCTGACAACTGAGCTGCTGAACTGAATGCAGCTAATTTGAAATTCCTCTGCAACTTGTCTATCTCTCCCTTCAGCATCCCTTTCAACAAGCTCAGCCTCTTGCCTTCCTCACACTGATGCCATATTCTGCCCTGTGGAACACCATCCTCTTATTACCTTGGGTCTTTTTTCATCGGGTACAATACTGTTTCATCTCCTGATTTCTATGTTACCTTCTTGCTTTTATCAATTACACCACTTCCCACCCTGTTGTGCAACACTGGGATCACCATCCACACCTGAGGTTCAAAGTTCTTCCTGGAGGTTTTGTTCTACACTTTTATCCTCCCTAATTGCCTTCTGCCTAGTCATCTCTTTCACAAGCTGCTTTCCATTAGCTCTGGCTGAAATACCTTTCCGGCTCATACATGCATTATACAACAGGTATTTTTTTTCCCAAATATATATATGTATGGTTTTTTACACCACTATCTTCACCTTCAACGCAAAAAAGCATTTCAGTAGCTTATTCCCTGTGATTTAAAAAAAAAAAGTGTACTATAGCAGCAGATTAGTCAGACGACATGTGTATCTATATAAAATGATGATTAGGTAGCTAGTGAAAGTTTGTGTGGTGTTTTTTTTTTTTTTAAGGTTTTGGTAGCCCCTTTTCAAAAAAGCTTTCCAGTCCTGTCTGTTGTGTGGTGGTGCATCGTGTTTAAATCAGGGTGGCAGCTCCTTGAGCAGCAACCTCCCATTTCTTACTGTACACAGCTGGGCACTGGAGAACCAGTAAAAATACTACTGAAGTTGCTTGGACTGAGAACTGCGGCAGGTCTTCATGTCTTTCTGTTAACGAAGTAACGTGGCAGATGGCCTAATTATTATTAGCAGTTCCTTCCTTAGGAAATCTC